AGCCATGGCTTGCTCTTGAAAATAGAGCAAGCCATGACGGGAAATCACGCAGACGATTCAGTAGTAGTATAACTCTCAATAGGTCGGATTCCCAGTGAGGACATAGGGATAGGGGAAAGCTTGGATGTATGGATGCTTTCTGAATGTTCCTTGTTGTGGAATATAATAAATATTCGGATCAGAATCTAGCGTCTGCTCCGCGCTTCGTGAGCAGCAAAGCAGATAGCTTGCGATCTTTTCCTTTGAACAAGGCGTAACGCTCACAAAACTTTCGTAATACCAGCCTTGGTGGCAAACTGCGACTCTCTACGGTTTTTGACTGCAAACAGAAGTTTCTTCTCAGTCAGTCAGTCAGTCAGGTGGGCTGTCACCAGTCGAGGTAAAAAATGTGATCGCCTAGGGTAACACTTTCCGTGACATTCGGAGACGCTTCCGGGAAGGAAAGCGAGCTGCATGTTCCCGATTCGGGGATACTTAATGATGACCAATGCATCCCCGATCGAGGTATCTTGACCAGACAGAATCTCTCAGATCAATTCCACGAAATATTAAAAAATCGGTGCGAATCACGAGTTGCGATGGGCCTGTGCACAATCTTTACTGCTTTCCGTCGTTTACTGCTCTCCGATGAATATATTCGCCGAGCGTTTACGTGAAAGCCGAGCGCGGAGTCATCCTGCGCCTGCAGTTTCTGTCAAAAAGGAACTCATCCCTGGCGGGAGTCGAACCCGCGACCTTTGGATTAGAAGTCCAACGCGCTATCCACTGCGCTACAGGGACAGACCACGGAGCGAGGTCGTGCAAGCCAACTCTAGCTAATATCTCAAATGTGGGAGGCACCGTCTCGTGTCACCGCTGCGCTCGCTTCTTGATCGCAAGTGGTTGGCTTGGAGTCCCACTGCCCGACCTGAGATTCATCTGAAAGAGCAGGGATATGTAGTCGGGCGACCAAGCGAGTGGGCAACCAGATGATCAGTCGGTCGGCCGGCCGGTCGTTCAAAGAGACGAGCGCCGACTAGCAAGCTCTCAACTCGGTTGCCATGGAGACGATATGTCCGAAGCGCGAATCGAGCGCAGAGAAGTCCTCGTCCGAAACGTTCCTCTCGGGTCTGCCTGTACCGCCAAAGTACCGAATGATGTTCGGAACGCTAGAAGCGAAAGGCGGCCGCCGTTCAGAAAGTTGACGCTTGCCAGCAAACGGATCTCTAAAATTGCTCACATAATTCCTGTTCTCGATTTTCGCGGAGGCTTAGTTAGCTAGAGCCAGCGGGGGTTTCCGAATCCGACTCATTCTTATTCAGAAGCTCGTAACTTCATGTGCAATCACACCTATTCAGAATGCTCATTCGGCCTTTCACAATGCTCACGGATGTTTAAGCTTCTCTGACAAGAGGGTTGCTTTGAGCGCGAATGTGGACTATGCTTGAATGCTTTGATTTCAAGTTTTTCTGAGTTCGAGTGGGATTTTTCTGTTTCCAGCCGTCCAAGGAGAAAGGGTGTTTGGCGGCGTGAATGGCTCTTGTTCGAAATTCACGATTCCCGCCTGCCCCTATCGGCAGATACCAATCGAGTTATCAAAGCATCAGAATTTCTTTTATCAAATCGGGTTTACGTAATGCCTCTCGCTCTATATCTGCTGAGACTCATGCCAAATCTCGAGCCCGTCATCTTCGGCTGCCCCATCAGCGATCGATTTACTCTCTTCACGGGCTATCGGTCGGACTCAAGCTTCCCAGCCTTAACCGTAGCGGCGCTTTTGCCAGAGACAAAATCAGGGATAGTTTGAGAATGAGGTGATTTTTCACGGAAATTGGCGGCACAAGGAGGCTCTCGCAGCCTTTCGAAGGCTCCTGCTCGTGAGGATTAGAGTTCGAGCCGTTGTTGGGAACGCAAAACAATGCGTCGGCCGGGAATCGAACCCGGGCCACCCGCGTGGCAGGCGAGTATTCTACCACTGAACCACCGACGCTATGCTCCACCGGAGTCTGACCAGGGTGTTTGAGCAGGGATTCAAGCCCTCTCACAATCAGGAGGCTGCTTCACGCGGGCAATCTTAAGATCCCCGACGTCCGGGAGGCCGGAAGAAAAGCTCTTCGAGATTCGCTCCTCACGTCGACGTTCGCTCCTACCTGACAGAATTCGGAATGCCTGTGTCCATCATTCGATAGTCGGATGTTTGGATCGATTCAGACATTCAGAGAATGTTGAGGAGAGGATTTGTAAAAATCGATGATCGGTCTTAGTTCCGACGGAATGACTGACGAGCATACAATGACTCTCGAAACCGAATTGATATCACCAGGTAGGCGAATTCTCGGACTCTCAAAATTCATCTTTGCGACCTCTCGCAAGTTTTGCCGAGCACGAGCACCTTCATTGCTGCCGCACCATCCGATTACCAGAGGAAGCAGTCATTGCGACCCAAACCCACGTCGACCGAGTATTTCCGCTGGATGGGAACATGAATCCTTCTCTGGATACGAGAGTGGTGCCAAGAGTTTTTCTCTTCAGTTTCGTGTCGAGACACAACGAGTCCGGTATCAAGTTGTGACAGGTCCAGACAAGCCTCTGTAGATCTGCAAGTCGACGAATCATCGGCGCGACTTCCACGCACATCTCGATTTTCTCCCGGGGAAGGAGACGTTGGAATTCCGACCATGTCGTTCCAGCATAGAGTGGTCCCGCAGTGGACTTTTCCCTGTGAAGAGATGAGCATTTCGGGAATTGATCTCTTGAATTTTACCGGAGGAAAAATAATCGGCACGGAGCAGTCGGAACCGACGCACTAGAGGCTAGAGGTCAAGGAGAAAGTTCCTCCGAAGGTGATCCAACGATACATATGACCCGTTAGCCACCGGTGCTTGATAAGGAAAAGGATATTTCGAACGGAAAATATCAGAAATCACACAGACGGGATGATTTTTAGAAAGAACAAACAAGTTCTCATGAAGGTACGGGGTCGGAGACAAGGCTCGGCAGTCTGCCGTAACCGCAAGGAAGTCGCCGACCATCGATACGCCAATACCGTTTGAATAGTGACCGACAAGATTCGCGGTGCGACATTCAAAAACCGAGCCGGGCAAACGTATCCTTCGAAGCAGACATTTCGCGGTTGCACAATAATTGAGCCGAGACTCGGTATTTTTCCCAACATTGAGTTCGAGTCAGAGGTATTGGAGTGTGTACCTTGAATCGGAACCTGGCTTTTCCGACCCGCAGCGGACCCCGGCGCAACAAAAAAGGTCGGAAAAACTTATCTGCGGAGGCATACAAAACTCAAGGGCACTATTTTGTGTCTGATGTTTGAATCTGTTCCGGAAATCGTCGTGGCTGCAAAAGATTTCATGTGCGTACACCTCTCAGGACTCAAAATTTTCGCGTTCCGAAAGCGCACGAAGATGAGACGTTACCCGCGTCACGGGACACCGACCGCACCTCGATCATGGGTATCGTAGAGCCCTCGGGTCTGCGAGTTCAGGACGCCTCCTCGCGATTCGATCGAGCAATAGGAGGCCCAGAATCGTGGATCATGAGAGCGCGGAGAATCTCGCGGCCTCAAAGAGCTCGCCGCCAATACATAGGTAGATTGAATGTCTCTCTGCTCAGAGATATTTCCCGATTATGGGGTCATTGGTCTCATGACGGTGAGCCTTCGCTTAACATAAGTTGATGTGATCCACTTTCGACGGTGAATGATTCATGAATCGCATTTCGAAAATGAACGCACGACTCGGGAGAGTCCGGAAGATCTTGCGTGTTCCACACCTACACGCTACATCCGGAGCTCATTGCGAGGAACCCGACAGGCCCGACAAATCTTATTGGTTGCGATGAATGTTTTATCGATAGCGTGTATCTCACAGCTTCGGTCGGGAGTAGGGCCCAAAAACTATATCAATGTTGAGGATCATCCGGAACTTTGGCGGGCCTTCCGTTGAGCTCACGACTCACGAGCATCTTCGTGCCAAACTAGAGCCAAATTGACATACCGGGTCTCGGGTCTCATTCTGTTTCCCCAAGTTTTCTCAAGTTCAAATATCGCTTCTTTTCGGCTGAGCTGAGAACTTACTCAATGATTGCCTGTCAGCACGTCTTTGAATCTGCCACTGGGGATTCATGATTTTGACCGCAAAAGTCCGTTGACGGAGCGAGGCCGGACTCCCGATGAGAATGCAGCCGCCGCGAGCTGCGAAATACGAAGGAAAAACCAGAACGAAGGACCACGATTCCTCGATTTGATCCGAATCGACTGTCTCTAGTGAGCTGATGAGCCCCTCTCAGCTAGCTGGTAGATGCGCAGTATGAGTAGAGATGGGAAGTCGGTTGCTGAGAGGAACGAAAACTCACATTTGTTTCAATGCTCGGCGGCTCGATCATCCTCCTCTGGCTCATACCGCGGCTCGATTCTGATCGAATTCGATGCCCCCCTCGGCAAGGAGGAGTTGGATTGAGTGAGTTGGAGAGTCAAAACAAGCCGGGCTCGTTCTGGAGGCACCATTCGGATCCCCAGGCTCAGCCAGCTGAGGGAAGAACAGAGCTCATTCATCCCGGTGGAAAATTCGGTTTCGTATGCGTCCTTCTCGGGGAATTCCATCCTATGTTCAAGCTCAACACTGGGCTGTACAGAGAGACGACTCAGGTCTAACATCTAGGTAAGAGCGACGTTTATTTGAAATTGCTCCCACAACGGCTCCCCGATTCGCTGAAGGCGAGCTCTCTCGATTGCCCAGTCCTCAAAAATGCATTACCCGATTCCCCTCGGATCAATGTCTCCCAATCGCAAGACTCGTGATTCCCAATAGTCTCCGAGGACCGAAGGCTCTCTTAGCGTTTAACGTTGATTCTAGCGCCAGCATGCCTAACGGAGGATCCCGCGCTGAGTCAAACGAACTCTCTCCACATGAGGACCCCATTCCTTCCAGTGGTTTCGTTTTCAAGAGAAAGAACGCTATATACACACACCAAAGCAGCAGCAGCAGTGTTCCTCTCTCTCCATTGGCCGCTGCTACACCAAAGCAGAACGAGCAGCATCAGGAGACTTGTGCCCGTGTCTATCCGTGTTGTTTGTTCGCTGCTAGTTCTCTGTGCTACTGCTGCCGTGGCTACGGCTCCCATTGTTGTTGACCACTTCGGCCGAGTTGGTCTTGCCAGAGGGATCAGCTCTGCAAGCTTGGTCGCAGCTCGGTCGAGACCTCAGCTCATCAGCTCTCTGTATGAGCATCGAGCCAACCGACGAAGTGGTGGCGATCAGCTAGTTAGCTGAGCCCTCTAATCTAACGTCGACGTTGTCGACGGCAATCCTGGCGTATCTCGGCGGCTAGCTCCACCAGCGTTGTTTCGCTCAGAGGAATCCTAGCCGCAGCAGCCGTCCGCAGGGGGAAAAGTTCAAGTTTCTTCAATTTCGAGCCCATGCAATTCGGATTTGTGTCCCTCGGGGGAACCGCTAGCGTGTGAACGAGATCAAACCGGAGCGAATCTTCCGCATCCCTGGAGAAGAGCTCGTGGGATGGGACTTTGAGTTTCACAGAAGCATCAAGGTTCCGAAGTCGTACAAATATCTTTCTGGTGAGTATTGCATATGTGGGTGGTGGCATCGCAGCTGATCGTGCCGCTGCTGGCTTGTCATTCGAATCTTTCAGTTGTTGTTCTGGGCCTCGCGTCGTCGCTCGGGAGGGGAGATGTGTGTCACAAATGACGATCCGACTCGGAGAAGACGTTGTCGGGAATTTTCGCTTAAGAACAGAATTCGGATGTCCCTGGATCTCGTGGGCTCACCGAAAAATAATTCGGCTTCCACTTAGCCGAGCCATGTCCTGTCGGACCCGAGCGGAAGTCCAACTCGATTTGATTCTTCAAAAGGCGAGATATTGACACGCGGGTCTCCGAATTTCCCAATGGGAGTATCTCGCTTGGCGCCGAGCGAAATATCGAGCGACGGGAATCACAGAGGACAGAAATATATCTTTCTCGACCGACGGAGCAGTCTCCAATGATGTGGAGCAGAATCGTGAACGATCGAAGGCTTCCCCAATCGGCATGATTATTATTTGTCCGCTTCCACTTAGGGTACGACGATTGTTCTTGTATCTCGACTTAATTACGCCGCAAGCATTCATCGTTGCGGATTGTTGCCGAGTAAACTCTCCTTGAGCTCATACATATGCGGTCGTATTGCCATGGGGGATTGATCGGACGCTCGAGCCGAGGCCTTCCGAACCGACTTGAGCCGACATTAGTTGAGGAGCCTCCGAACTTTCCAGCCTGGGAATCCTCCATCAGGATCATCAAGGGTTCATCATGCGGTTCGAACCACCTCCGTAGCTTCCTACTGAATCGCTCCGATTCAGCCCTCGTTCCGGAGTTCTATTCGACTTCTGAAAGTTTTCATTTCGAGGGAGCCGCTCCCCGTTTTGAATATTGCATTCCGGGATTCAAAACATAAACCGTCTCGATAACGAGGGGACTTGCGTGGGGAGCGTCTTCATCAGCTGTTTCTCGAAGACCGATCCGATATCACAGATCGTTCCAGCGATCATTCTATCCGGTCTCGCGAAATCACGAGGTGGACGCCAGTTCCTCGACAGAGAATCACTCCATCGGCTGCTCCCTACCGCCCCCCTGTCAGAGCCGGGTCCTCTACCTCAATTCGCCACCCGGTCTGAGAGTTCGTTGCTACCGGACGCGTTCTCTATCGATCAGCGTTCGAGCCGGGATCACGATTCACGGAAATCCTCCGAAGGACGAGAAATACTTCCTTATCGGACGTCACCACGTAATGCATAGCGTGGCTTTACGTGGAACGCAGAGGAAGGGACCGACTACTTATTTTTGTGGACTTGCTCTTGTGCTTAGGGTCAGTGTCTCGAGTGGCCAGCGGGTCTCGCCCACAATTGGCCCATTTCGCCGATGGAGCCGGCGCGAAGTCACTCACACACACACAAACACGCACAAACGAACGAGCGCGACTCTGGACGACATAAAAAATCTACATTTATGAGTGTATGCGTATTTATCAGTCGGTGTCACACAATCCAGCGGGCGGGCAGATGGAGGCTTCTTCGATTGTCGGGAGCCGGCTTTCGCCCGCGGACACAGACACACCGAAACACGAGCTAACGGTCAGCGGAAACGGAACCGCAGTTCACATGCTGATATCCCCGACCTCATCACCGCCGCGTTTCTGGACGGAGCCGATGGAAATAATTCCCCGCATCCTTGTTTTTCGTCGTCGTCGTCGTTCATCCGGTGTCGTTCATGAGGGGAAGAATCACTTCACATCTGGCGACCCGCTCAATGAGGGAAGAATGAAGCCGTTCCCCAGCTACAGAGAAATTTTATTCCTCGAACTTTCGAGCGCCGTTGGCGACTCGGTATTTATCTACTTTGCTAAACGTTCCGACGACAGTGAATACACATCGCTGGAAGATACTCGTTCAGTGTGTTCATTCGCTCGTCTTCCAGCTAGTCAGTCGGCCGCACTGTTTAACATTCGCTCACCTAAGAGCCGCCGTGACAATAGGAAGAATGACAGTGCTTCGAGAACAAAAGTTTGCTTTACCGGCGTCGGTCGGAAGAGCGGCGAGGCGTCCGGAAGGACGTCCTAATGGAACGATCCTCCCCGAGAGGAAATTAATGCAAAAATCGCGTGTCTCGACTTTTTAGGCGTGATTTGCCGAGTGCGAGAGGTGGGAGAGATCTTCGAGAAGCCGGAGCTCGTGACAGTGAGATTTCAAGATCGAGGACAATGGGGAGATCTCGGATGGGGAGACGATCAGCTGAGCTGAATCGTTGGGTCCGACGGATCGAGCCGGCTCTCACTCGGCTGCTCGCAAGCTCACTGGCGAATCAGCTCGCTGGCTGGGCCTTGGTGAGAGAAAAATTCTGGACGAGAGGTATCTTGCGTGGTTTCTGCGGCTGGTCGTCAAAGAGAGGAAGCGCTCCCGAATTGTGTGGCCTCGCTGTCGAAGGCCTTGTCCTTAGCCTCTCGAATGCTTTTGTTCTGCTGTACGATTCGCAAGCAGTCGCTTTTATAGGGCTGGCGACAGTCCCATCCGTCAGTCTGTCTGTCTGACTGTCGCCTGTCCCGTAAGGAGAACGGTCGTTCGGTAGGCGGCCAGGTGACCGGATAGGCCGTAGAGCCGCTGGGACGGCAATCCGATGAACTGGCAGGGGGACAAGCGTTCTTCCTTCACCCATAATTGAATTTTTCTACCCGAAAATGCTTGGCTGCCTGGTTCGGTCGGTTGTTCGGCGGTTCGTTTTTCCGGACGGATGATGGGCCAAGATCGATCGATCGATGAATCAATGAATGAATGAAGCCAGAGGCAAAAGATCGTCAATGGAATCTTCGGCGACTTCTGAAGCCGTCGACATGGCTTACAAGAAGCGCTTCTCGGGGTTCTGAACCATTGAGTGGTTTCGTCATCTGGCGTCAAGGTGCTTGGCATCGCGCGGAACACTTTGTTCGCTTTCCGATATCTCTGCAATATCTCCGAAAAGATATGCATTCATCGTATTCCCTGCGAAAGGTCGAGACGCCAGAACTTCGCTGCTTTCCAGACGATCACAGACATCCACCGAAGCGGTCGATTCATCTTTTACTTTCTCGCACACAACTTGTCTGAAATTGACGTTTCGAAGTTGTCGAATGAACTCACTCGTTCCCCGCTCGTCGTGAAAAAGCTCACCAAGCCGAACACTGCCGACTGGCTGCTTAGACTGCGATTTCGTTCAAATATTCGCTCACGATCCGTCGGGGCGCACGCGACGAATCGACACGACCGGTGACGACGGTCGCGGCGGCGGCGCGGGTGCGATAAACGCGGATACTCGTGCAAGTTTTGCGTTCTTGGAAAGTTTTCATTTTTTATGTCGGTGTCATTTCTCGACGCGTTCGTAATCTGCGTCTGTTCCGCGTTGTGCGAGGACGAAGTCGGAGAGGCAGAAAAAAAGACAAAAGGCTCAGTCAGTCAGACACTCGAGCCTCTACCTGACCAACCAACTCGGCAGGGCAGGGTGCTTCTTCTGTCTCAGTCAGTCATTCAGTCAGTCGGGTAGGCAGGCAGGCAGGCAGAAAGTAAAGTCAGGGAAGACGCCAACGGCAGAGCAAGGGAGAACTTGGTGGCAAGCATCGCGCACTGCCACCAGCTTTCCCCCGTCGTCGTCGATGATGATGACGACGACGACTCGTCAACAATGGCTCTGACCCAATTGAGCTCCGAGAAGGTGATCCTGATGTTGAGCTGCGCAAGGCCCGCAACTTCGTGGCACTTGTCGATGGCATCTTGCTTTCCACCAACAGAGATCGGCACACTATGTGTTATTCGGCGATGATGCGCTTGCCAACCAGTTCGTCTTGTTCGTTGGCTGGCTGACTCCGTCGGTCTTTGCGTCCGCAGCAGACGGTCCGTCGGTCTGTCCGTCCGAGTCGTCCGTCCAGTTTGATCGCGTGAAACGAATTCTGTGGGGCGGGCATTCGCTGCTGCCGCCACCGCAGTGATGTTTCAGTGGTGTGATCCGATGCCCATGCTCCGCTGACGCCTCTGCGGTTTTTGTCGTGCAGTTCGCCACTGACGCCGAACGTGATTCGACCGGCTCTGCATTCGATCGACGAATCAGAAAAAGAGTTTCGTACACCGACCGACTTGATGGAGTTGACTTTAGCAAACAACGACGCTGAAACCTTGCCAAGGTCGACGAGACGATTGACGGGTAGGAGCCGTAGACTCGATCAGCCCGAGCGTACACACTTATAAGTAGTCAGACAATCGTCCGGCGAGGACTGTCTCGAGTCCATTGTTTCTGAGGGAATAATTGAGGTCGGAGTGTGTTCCCGAGACTGGGAAAGGTTTCCTTTCTCTCGACTTCGATCGAGTACGTGTGAATGTCCCTCATGCACGGAGCACGGATTGAGTCGCTCCGATTTTCTTATAGCGTGCTTGGCCGTAAAGTATTAATATATTTCTGCGTTGTTCGACTGGAACAAAGGTCGCCCGGCTGACCGCTCCATCTTGCGGCGAGAACCATTCCGATGCTTGACGCGCTGCGTCAACATCGAGTGAGCGTGGAAAAGAGTCCCTCGATCATTCCTATTAATAAAATCAGTTAGTAGAATAGTAGAATAATTGTTTGGTGCTTCGAACCGCAAATTGTATCAAGTTCTGTAAGGCGTCCCGTTCGTGCTCTATGAACGAATCCCGCGCCGTGCTATGACTTGTATGTAATAACGGAATAAGTAATAAAGCGATAATGATTACAATAATTGGGATAGTCGTCATACGGCAGAAGCGAACTTATCGAGATTGGCGATGATTTGAGCGCAAGTCTCGTACACGATGGGGGAGTGGTAACTCTGAACTGTGACGTCAATCGACCAGGGGCTGGATTGAGCCCCTCGCTGAAATTTCGGAGATATTAAACGGATACGCTCAAATCGGATGTATGAGCTCCGGAGCTAATAATTCAAGAGGCTTCGTTCGAGTCATCCCGAGCTCTTGAAAGGCTTTGCTCCGAGCTTTTGTGACGTGACGTTCATTTCCTTCTCCTATTCGAGTTCTCGGTTCCAGTCGCTCGCTCCCTTTGAATCATTCACTCGATTATCTCTTTTGTGCAAAGGTTTCGTGTACTTGAGCAAGACGATGGCAAAGAGAGGCGGACACAAGGAAAAGACGAATTGCGATCGTTCGTTCTCATTCGCTCCTGCTTGCTTCGATACCGACTGAGGGAGCGCAGATCTGCTTGCTTGTGGGGAATGTTCCTTACGTATATGTGTCTATTTCACGATGTATTCAACAGCCCGTCCCGTTCCCCCTGAGACGAGTTCATTCTACTTTACATCGTTCTCGATCTGGCGGATCAACAAACCACTATTTTCCCGGCCGTCGGAGAGGATCAGTGATCCGATAGGGAACGTCACTCCGGTGCCATTTGTTTCACAAGGAATATCTCAGTCGAGTATTAGCGAGAGATTTTCCTCCGTGCGATAGGCGTTCTCCTTCCGAGCTCTCCGTCCTTGCCTCCGTTCGGTCTCTTTCTATGTGTACGTTCGGGACTCGACGCCCAGGCCTGTGATACGTCGACAATCAAGCTCGGCCACATCGTCGTACGTATTTCCGTTCGGTTCTTTCTCCCGGTCTGCCGCTTCCCGCGGACGAAAGAAGCGGATCTTGGGGAGCGACGTCTGCAGGATTGAAAGCTACAATCTGAGGTATTTCTGGAAGAATTTAATCGTAACAATGGAATCGGCGTCTCTCGACGTAACTTAAGTGAACGATTGCTATGGTGGACAGCTGTCAATGTCTGTCGCTAATACCAGCAGCCAAAGCCGTCGTCGCGATTGCCGTCGCTGTTTTGGCCGACTGATTAGCGGTCCTTATCTTCTTTCGCCAACTGGATAGGCTCATGCAGCGCGACAGTGGTATCGCCGGATGTTGACGGGTTCAGCCAATACACGGTGTCGACTTTCTCTCTTAGTGCACGGCCATGAATCATTGCTGTTCCTTCGAGAGAAAAATGTCGCCGAAAGAACGTGGTAATCGCCGTGAAAGCTGGAAAGCGATCCTCTCAAATAAAGTAGGGGCCCCGCTCTCTGTGCTACCGCACAGTGAGGCGGCTCTCCGATCCCAAGCCAAGGGAGGGATACCGTCGAGCAAGACTCCGAAACGCTGTATGAAATCCCCACTTCGCCTCCCTCCAACCCTGGCGCAAGGGCCCCCTCAGGCGTGCTCGCCCGATGCACGGGTACCGGAGGTCGGTCGTGCGCCGATGCTTCTGACTGACTGAGAGGATGGAAGCCACGGACTTCCTCACGGAAATTCCGCTCTCGGCTCCCGTGGGAAATGGTCGATGGGCGGTTCCAAGCAAGCTGTATTCTGCACGAGGCACGAGACACCCGCAGGACGATCAATGCTGTGCGAATTCGCTCTCGAGAGGTGCGAGCTGTCGGTGAAATTTCCTATATATATTTTCCACGATGCGATGCTGTCCCCCGAGTCTGCCTCGGAACGCCTCCACCGACCGACGTCCTCCGGCAAAGCCGAGTCAAAGGCTGGATTGAGAACGCTGAAAGTCAAGGGTCTAATATTGAATTTCGGGATGTTTGCAGAGCGCTGGATTTTGAATCCCGTCGGCTCAGAGTAGGATTTCGGATGTCGACAGTCAAGAGTCGGTTATTGGATCCCGTTGGACTTCGACAGTTTGGGCCGCTATTACCGCTCTGCTCGGGGCTGCTCGATGTTGAGCCTCGACAGCTCTGCATTGCGTGTCGAGAGTCGAAACTAGAATATGCTACCGTAGGACTGCAACGTTGGACTCGCACAAACGGATTATACCACGGAATGACGTTGGGATCTCGGTGTCTCGAAGTGGAAGCCGGCGGTTTCTGCCCGCCTCGATTCCGTGAGCTCAGTCTATACTCGGAAAGCTCTGTCACGTCTCTCGACCACAAGTGAGCGACCAGTAGACAGGGGACAGGCGCGCGTGGTTTGGCGAGGTTTCTCCCTATCCAGTCGTTCGGCCATGGCTTAAGGTTGGCTTCGAGATGAAAAACGCTGTTACCTCTGAAGCACAATCTATCGGTCCGGGCTTCCGCTGGCAGTCTGCGTGAGCTGGGCTCTAGGGCCAAGTCCAAAATCCTTCTTTCTTACTCTTATAGAACGGTTGGATGGATCAAGCTCAGATTCCGCAGTGAGATGTTGACTGTCACCAGAGTCGAGCCCTATCGGCATCGGGAGCTATATGAGAAATCAGAAATTCAGCGACCGGATGAAACACGAAAGGGAAATTATGAGCAAATTCACGGACTCCTGTGGTGGTCGCAGAAAACAGCAGCGGTTCGGGAGTCAAGCATCCACGCGGACAGAAGGGAAAGCACTCATCCGAAGAGTGTATTTCTGACGTTTTTGTCTCTCTCGTATCCGACAGAGAAACTTCTCAGCTTCAGTGGTTCTCGATTTTAGAACGTTCCGAAGCAATTTACAGAAAAATATAGAGAAACCGAATTGAACGAGGAAACATCGACTTCCCGAGCGCTCGTTGAACCATCTCAATGAAAAGCTCCCCGATTGAATGCTTTTCGCGACGAGGAACGAGGCGTTTTGCGAATCGTAATCTACGGAAACGGAAGAGAACATATGTCGCCAGCATGGGAGCCTGGGAAAAAATGTCAACATACGGCGGAACTTCTCGGCTTGCTTTCCGTGATTCGCCGCGGGGACTGACGTTTCGGGCTCGTCGTCTAACCTCGTAACGATCGAGCTCCATACGAGCGACACTTTCGCTTTCTGTGCGATAGATCCGGGACCGCTCCGCCCCCTCGTCTCGATCATGTCCCTATTTTCCACCTGCTATTTTTGACCTTATCCAAATTTTTCCATGTTCTCAAGTTATTTTGGGCGGACACTCCATGGTTGCTCCAATCGAGACCGCTCCGACCCTGAGCAGGAAAACGCGAGTCGCATAGATACGGCGGATCGAGCCTTTGATCGGAAGATAAATCACTCCAATCTAAGCTAACTCCAGAAAACGGTAGTTAAGGCGATTGTAGCTCCTCCAAGACCACAAGGTCGTTCTCACGGCTTAGTTATTGCGAGCATCCCAGCTGCCCTATTTCTAGGATAAAAAGCAAGTCTATGTGCGTAAGTCTTTCAGAAGGTTTGATGGATGAGCTGTCTGACAAGAGAAACGACAATGGGATTCCCTGGAATGAGTTATGACTCAACAGAACAAGTTACGGAATCAAATTATAGTCCCCAGATTCGAAGTTTGCTCATCGAGATCTGAGCCTAGTGGCGGCTTTCGGGGATCCGATCTCTACATTGAGTCGACGACGATATGGAACCACTTGAGCAAGAGAATTGATGCTCTCGGCCACGAATGGAGAGACGAAGCAAAAGACGGGAACGGAGACGAAAGGTTCTGACTTGGGAGAACTCGTGCCCAGAAGGAGAAAGAAAAGATAAATTTGAATAAATGTTCGATCCTCTTTGGTGAAGCGAAAATAATTCAGCAGACTCTGCACACGGCAGCTTGGAAGTTTTTTCCCAGGATTGGCTCTCATTTTAATGTCGTCGACGCCGACGTCGCAGGGGCGATTTGAATAATTTATTTTGCACAACGCAAAGCACAGCGAAGGAGGGCGAGCGAGGGAGGACGACAAAAAAAAACGAAGCTTGTCGGGCAGTACGTAATCTTCTCTTCTCCGGTAATCTCGGCGTGTTTAATTCAAGCCTCCAATTTCTCTCCCCAGAACCACCGAAGGATCGAGGCAAGCTGCGGACATGACACGGACCATTCCGGAAGACAAGGTACGTTCGTCAATCCTGAACGTTGATTGAATTCGAGAATCCCCCTCCGAGCTCACAGCGGAATCGATCGTAATTAAAAAAAGTATTCTGTCGTTTTTGGCCTGGTGGTTGAAAAGTGTGGAACTCCCAAATTATCGTGATGCCTTAGATTCAAAGATCGATGGTCGATGCGAGCGGGTCGGTGATGGAATAGCTTGTCGCGAAAACCACTGAAAGCTTGTGGTGCTTCTGGCTCCGATCTGCGGCCTCTAGAGGAGTTCTAGTCCTGAGAGACTGCTTCATCGCTATCCAAGCTTGACAAGTCTTGTTGCTCTACGTGGACGGTGTTGATTTCCCTGCGCAGAGAGACGTCAGAGACGCTCCGTTCCATCGGTCCGCATCTTCTGGATTTTCAAGCGGACGGAACTCCACCGCTTGGTATCCACGTGCGACAATACGGTTCACCTGCTTTCCTTTCGATTTAGAAGCAACTAACCTACATAGAGTAGATGAGTTATTTCCGGAATAAAGCACAGACCAATTTTTGCGGACTTTTTGGACGCAGGGCAGTTTTCCTGATGGAGCCAGCCGTCGTGGTCTTTGTATCGTCGCCAGTGCCGCTGTTTGAGTGTTGGCGGTGGTGGTTGAACGCAAATGGATTCTCCTCGCCAGAGCCATTGTTGTACCTGGGATCTGCTGCTGGTGGGCCATTCTATAGTTTTCTCCATGATTTTTGCCGCTGTTCCCGACGACTGCCTGCCGTTCGTCCGTCCTCTCATCTCGGGAGGGTCAGAATCATTTCCGCGAGCGGGGCTATCAAGTTTGACCTTCGGTGACCACCAGTTGCCGGTGGGAGAAAGGCGGGATCCGATGTCTCCTGCGGGACCGATTCCCGACTGGCTCTCGCAATGATTTCATTGGAGATTTCCTGTCGTTCCCATGGAATCCGGAATGCTCGCCTCGGCTTCCGTGGCAATCGCGGTCGACGCGAGACGCCGAACGCGAAAGATGTTGGCCATCACCCCGAAATTCAACTAATGACGATGCCTTCGGACTACATCGTCGTGGGAACGAATGTGTTTGCGTATACTTCGAAGAGTGAGCACTCGGGCGAATGAGTTTCAGATGACGTAGCGTAATCATATTTCGCATTTGAATAGAAGAAGCCACTACAAGCAAATTGCAACGCGGCTACAGGAGAAGACCACATTGATCCGACACTTGGTTGGGAACAGATAGACCATGAGCGCCACTCTTGGAAAAGTCGGCAATCGGGTTACTGTGTCTCCGCCGGGAACTCGGACTCGTCAGTGAGGAGGAATCCCCCAGTTGAGAAAGTCCTTCCGTCATCCAAGTGCCCGCGTCATGATAAGATCGTCGACTTGGCAATCATGCTGATGACTGATGACTCTCATGCACTACTTATCTTGATGGATACTTAGCCAGATGGAAATTTCAATACTATTCATTTGGCGTCGCTCCAATGGTGGCGGCGCCGGTTTCTGATATGATGGGAGTCTCATTGACCTTAGATCGTGATCGTGGGGACCACGAGAACTCGATAAGCATCTCGCTCCGCACGTGTGATACCGCCACTTCAAGGCGCCGCTCTCGCGATGTACAGAATACGAGCGGGTCGATTTTAAGCGATGAAAAGCATAAAGGCTGCTTTCCGTCGAAAGCCATGTCCAATCCATCCGTCCGACCGGTCGACGCGTGGTGAGAAAATTTGAAGAGAAAAGCTCGAGGAAAACTCTCTTAGAAATTCCGCATGGAACGCATCGCTGGACCATGCGAATAGATGAGTGACTGAACGAAAGAGGGTAAAGTTGCGTCACGTCAATGACCAGCACGTGACGGGCACAAAAGATTCAAAAGTGACTGTTTCTAGTCGTTTCACGCTGCTCTGAATCCGTCGGAGCGCCACTCCGCCGAGGTCGACCGGGCGGCGTTCGACGATGATCGGATGAATCCGCTTCTCTCGTTCTCAGAATATCGGGGACTTAGTCTTAGCTCTAATTAGTTCACTCCGAAGAGGGTGCATTAGAAGTTCGGCGTGACGGTGATTGAACTCCGCCGAGAAACTCGGAGGGTAGACATGAGGGAAGCAGATTTCGCATCCTATGGTCGGACGACGGGTGTCTTTGCGGCAGACATGAAGATGATACGTCGCGGAACGGGGAATTCCCTACGATGTCAGAGATTTGAGTCGCCTTATGAGCCGTTTACAGTGAGCAGGAACTCTGGGAGCAGTTCGGGAAACGATTGGGCTCCCGCTCGCGATCGGACCGACTCTTCGATCTCGAATAATGCCAGGAATTCCGGATCCAGAAGGTTATGATTCCGAGAAATATCCCGAATCGTGCGCTCAAACAAAGTTGGGAATCAACTCTCTCCGGAAATTCGACATCCTGGTCAAACTCGTTGACGCAACTGGCCTTTCTGAACTTCCTTCCCCTCGAGAAGTGCCGTGGAGTCGACGGTGACTTCCACAGCGTCGCTGGCGTGCAGCCTCCCAGATGATATGTACCTATTTTTTTTGGCGAATGCTCCCGACATCCCTCACAGTTTTCCGCTCGATTCCGAGCGTGACTCGATGGCGATGCAAAGAATCTATTGTGGCGAATTTCTGGTATCCCCTCGCTTGTCCCATCAATTACCTTGCCTGCTATTCCAGACCATTTTGTTTCTCGATTCGGAGGGTGAATCATTCTCAATTAGCCGGTATAACCGCTGCGAAGTAGCCTGCCCCAATTTCCCAGCTGCCATCATGTAAACTTAAGCGCTGTGCGTTCCACTCTTCTTCCTCATCCTTCCATTCTCGCTCTTTCGCTGCTCGAGTAATAACGCCACCAATAGTGTCGGGTGAATTCGACGTGTATCGGAAGCCGGCTGAGCGAGCAGTGAATAACTGTATTCACAAGGCTCTACCCGGCATCTCGACGGAACTTTCAGATCTCCATGCTCTTCCGAATCATCATCGGCGGAGTAGAATACCATGCGAGTGTCACTCTCCAGAGCAGTAATTTCGGCCAACATTTTCTGAAAGACATTGTCCTCTCCGAGATACTACGTATCTAACCCATGCTTATCATTTTCTTCTCCTGTGTCAACTTCGTACCGCTTTCTGAACTCTTTAAGAGGGAGCTTCCTGGAGTTCGGCTCGATTCCGCTCGCGAAAGCTCTTCGAATTCGGCTGAGCACCGGAGGAAAATCTCAAATAAACGCAAGATCGACAGATTTCCAGACTGAGAGATGCAATCTTTGCGCCGGTCTGAGAATTGCTTGCTCTAGCTATAAGTCCGCCGCTGGACTCTGAGACGAGGCATGAGGGAGCGAGCCAGTCGGTGGTCCGGCTGGTAGCCGGAGCCTCGAGAGGGAAATTAGATTACGCGTCGAAAGTAGGTTGTGACCCTCTCTCTCCGTCTGCATCGTAGGCGGAATACCTAACGTTGTATGCCCCTTGCTTGCAGATAAACCTTCGACTCATCCTAGTATCGGGAAAGACGAAAGACTTCCTGTTCAGTCCCGCTGCTTCGGCGGGAGACATCGCCCACTCAGTCTATGAGAACTGGCCCCCTGAGTGGTCGCAGGAAAAGGTGGAGCGCGCCGAAATCCTGCGTCTCATCTATCAGGGACGCTTTCTCCACGCCGACGTCACCCTCAGCGCTCTGGCGTTGCCGACGGGTAAAACCACGGTACGTAGTCCTGGTGTGGTTAGCGGCGCTGTTCGCTGTCAAGGTTCACCGCTAGTGCGGTAGGGCGACGGTGGCGGGGAGCCCGAGCAGACTCGTGGAAAAGCTTTTATCGACAGACGCCTCGTTACCCGTTTTCCTCATCTGCGCATATCCGTGCTCTCAGACGAAGAGATTCAGATTCTTTGCAAGTTCGAAGACCCGCTCGGCTAAGTAAACTCTAATCGATATTCGTTTCCCCTTCGTTCCCAGGTGATGCATCTTCTACCTCGAGAAAACCTTCCCGAACCTAATCAGAACGAGCGCATAAAGGAAACCTCTAGTTCCTGCTGTTTTTCGACTGCGTCTTGCAGCATCCTCTAAAATCACTCACACTAGATTTAATCAAGTAGTTTTCATGCGGTTGCTGCTCTGGCCTCGAAGCATCGCGAATACATACGTGCTTACTCCACGCGGTGGGTTCTTCCTGAAATGCGGGATAGAGAGCATTATGGAGTGCTCTGAAGAAGAGCGAAAGAAGCGAATTCCGTGGTCTGACTCAAACGACGGAGAGCTGTTCTCGAAGGCGACAAGGAGTGCCGCCATGCTGAGAGCGAGGAGACTCGATGCTTCGAGGCTCGAGGCTGTTGTCGCAGAACCGCGCGAACTCGGAACGGAAATACGATAAGCGGAAAACTCGAATTGTCAGGAACGCTGTAGATAGTCTATCGAACCGCTCGAGCCTCCACGATAAAGTCTTACGTAGTCGCTCTAAATGTGATGAACTTCCGGCCTGACCCTAGCTTGCGGCCCAGTTCACTTACTCCATATCGAATGTATGAAAAAGACAAAGTGACCAATGGGGAGACCATAGAGACGAGCAATCGGGAATGAACCCACGCACGTTCGTCCAGACGGGTCGACGGGATTAAATTTAAAATTCACCGCGTGAAAAGACTCGCGGATACTATGGAAAATCGAGGAATAACATTAGATCTCCTGCTTGGAGGTTTTCCTCACTTCTCAGCGGAAAAAACAGCGGGCGAGCCGAGAGTATGGTTGCGAAAAATGAGCCTAAAAAATCGTTGATCATCATTGAGAGATGAATTTGTTGGAAATTCTGCTGTCGAGGCACGATCGCATGTGTATGTACACTGAAATAGATAGGATATTTATGAAGATTGAGAAAAAAATTGATAATTCAGACGATAATTATGAATGTATATATTAATTTTAATTTTATGATTACGTCATGACTAGGCGAGTCGTAGATTCGAATTTTCTTGATCAGCAGATTCGGCGATCCATATGCCTGCTTGCGTGATGCTCATCGTGCAAAGCCTGCGTCGGCAGATTTCGGACACTATTTTCAAATTACCGTCATCGACCGAGCGACAGATGCAGGAAATTATTTCAAGGGCAGAGTTTCCACGGGCACTCCGCGGGTGGGAAAGCGATGAGCACCGAGTTTTTTTCCCGAGTGTACATAAAGCTTTCCGTTTTGGGATATTCGAATATTGTCAATCAATAAATTTCGCTGTATCAATACGATGAGAATTTTTTCCGATTCTACTGACGAGAGCTCCTCCAATCCGTGATTGAGAACCGAGCACAAGCGCAATGGATGCTCTGACGATCCCGTGAGGTTGTCGCCGGGCCCAGGCCAGCATCTATCATGTCTTCTTAATTTTGAGTCGATCAGAATCAGGAAGGCATCTAATCACAGCTACTGACCCGATCCCGATTCGGTACTAGGATTCCAGGATCTCGAAATCGATGTCACCCCATGGCGAAGACGAATATGTTCGTAATCCAGTTCTGATCTTTGCTTCCTTGGCACGGCTCAACTCGGGGGAGGAGTCCTTGTTGGTTTTCGCCACGGAGAAAGTTTCAGGAGTGGAGCGGTATCATTTCTGGAACATACTCAGACACGGGATTTTCTATGGCGTCCACTCCGCCACATACCTTTCCATGATTCTCGGTCATTTTCCCGTCTCTAACCATTTCCAATCAAATCCACCAATCCATCAAAAGCATGGGATCCCTAATTCGATTCCGTGGGCGTCCGCTGTTTTCCTCATGCAGATTGCATCGCGTTCGTCGGATTGACCTGTCCTCGCGGGATTCGTCTAGTTCACTCATTCCCTACGAGTCACTCTACCGAGATTAGCGATCAGGTAGATCTCTTCGATTGCGATGGAAAATAGATAGTTGTCTTACAGGTGCAGGATGACTAATGCCATCGGCCGCAGTCACAAAGAGGCAAGAAATCAGGTCAGGAGGACGATATAGAACAATTAGGACTTCTGATGAGGAATAATGGTTGGAAATCGTAGTCAGCACGGTGATGCGGCGGGATCGCCCTCCCTCGCTGATTTTCCCATCAAAGATCACCCGCATCATTGTTTCCACGATTGCCTATAAACACTCCTCCACTTCTGCTGCTCTTTTACCCTATCGAATTTCTCGGTCGAGTTCTTCCTTGAAACGTCTGTCCGATAGTTTCTATCAGTGATCGATCGCGCGAGAAGCGCTGCGCGAAACCGCGCAGACGAACAATTACTGCTCCAACCTTAATACTGAGTGTGGAGCCGTGGTCCGTGCGTTCGATTTTCGGCGTGCGCGAGCTAAGTGAATTTCTCGGTGTGCTCTCTCCAACAATTGAGTCAGTAGAGACGGTGTTCGAACGGAAATGTCTCGTATGACGCGGACAATCAATTGGATTCGAAAAAACCCAAAGAAAAGTTTATTCTTCGGAGGAACGACCGCATTTGCAACCAATTATGCCGTGGAGAAAAGAAAGTAAGTTGATAGAACTTCCGAGTAGATCCTCATCGCGAATTTGCACCTGGCCGCGCGGTTCCAAAAGAATCGGTTCTTCGACCGCGGAAATTCTCTGAGTGAGGTATCCATTCTGGGAACGGGGTCTCTGTGTGAGAAGGGGCAATTCGTCAATTCGTTCGACAGGCCGCGCGGAGCTCGGCTGCAGGGGCCGAGGAAAGAGGATCTACGAATCTTGACATTCTTCCCGTGCACTAGAGCAGCAGTGACTTTCGCCCTAAGGGTCGAAATGGTTGTCTGAGGAATAATGGCGCGTCTCTCCAGGTTGGATTGGAGCTCCGAAAACTAGCGCACCATGTCTTCCCGAGGCATGTTCCATTACTTTGGTAGACCAGTGGCGCCCTCGCCGCTACCACAGCAGACGCCAACGGTCTGCGTGCTGGTGGTAGAGTTTTGGAACGTCTGTGCGTTGTAGAGGGAACACTCTCGAGGAAGCCGCGGGCGACCCTCCGGTTGCTGAGAGGTCGAACTTCCCGAGTCTCTCGACGGATTCCGACTCCTTTCGTACTCCGATTGCCATCCAAACGTCGGGTCTCCGTTGGTTGCCATACAGCATGTTGAGAATACTTTCTGGGTCGGTGAGGAGGAGCGCAGTCGAATTTCTGGCCGTGAGAGCTTTATCGACTCGTCTTGACGACGCTGCTAAGCGACTGAAGACACTGCAAGAAGAACCCGAGAACGATGTGAAACTCAAGATTTACGCTCTGTATAAACAGGTGAGGGAACTCTTGCCTCGACAACGCCGGGATCGAGGTGTCCCACGGTCCGTGCTTGGGGTGATCTAGTTTTCCCGAGGTGTCCTGAAGTTTTTCATCGATCGCCCTGATTGGGTAACTGTGGAATGTCAAGAGCGATTTCCGCCAGAAGTTTCTGTTCACGAGGAGACTCGCGACGAGAGAACTCCTTGGCTTGGACTGATGGGGCCCTTGCGTGAGGAATATCCTGCTCAGCTGATCGCTCCTCGACGCTAAGTTTGTCGAGCGGGGCTGTGTCGGATTCTCGAGACGGGAGTTATCGAGCTCATCACTCTCCACTCTGCCTTGCCGTAAACAGAGACGAGTTCTCGCGGCTTCCAAAGTCCATTTGATGATAGACCTCTATTTCCACTGTCCAGGCGACTGTGGGAGACGTCAACATTCCGAAACCGGGCTCTTTCGATTTCGTTGGAAAAGTCAAGTGGGTCGCGTGGAAGAAAATCGAGGGGACGCCCAAGGAGAAAGCAGAAGACGAGTACGTGGAGCTCGTCGAGTCGCTTCTCAGCAGTGAAGAGAAGTCGGGCGCAACATCATCGACGATGGACTCATCAGGTGGGTACACCCAAGCCGGAGTCTGGTGCGAGCAGCTCGCGAGTCCCGAGGACATTTCGTTGCTCGGCCTGAGGGCGTGCGCACACGTCGCGATCCGAACTCCGAGTATAATCACGCGGCAACTAGACTCCCCGCCCGCCTCGGTTCGATAATGCAGTTCAGCACCTCACGCACACGGCCCTCGTATTTTCAGTTCCCGGCATCGTGAAAACTTTCGAAAATGGAGTTCTGACAATCCGGCTTGACAGGGTCGCGAAGAAGAATGCCATGACGCTGGAAATGTATCGACAACTCACAAAAATGATCAATGACGCCGCCGCCGACGAAAGCGTGAACTTCTTCGTTCTGACCGGAAGCGGTGACTTCTTCTCGAGCGGGAACGACCTCGGTAATTTCATCGAGAAGCTCAATACGGGCGCTGATTTGCACGAAATGGCCGTCGACTCGGCAAACCTCGTGCTTCACTACGTCAACGCATTCATAAACTTCCCAAAACCGATGATTGCGCTCGTGAACGGACCCTCGATCGGAATCGGATGCACGATTCTCGGGCTCTTCGACTTGGTTTACGCTTCGGACAAAGCATACTTCCAGACTCCTTTCTCACAACTGGGTCTGAATCCGGAAGGTTGCTCGTCCTACACTTTCCCGCAGCTGTTCGGAGGCCCCCTCGCGGCGGAAGTTCTCCTGATGAACAAGAAGGTCACGGCGGAAGAGGCTCTGAGTGCTGGATTCGTGACTAGCGTATTTCCGGCGGCAGAATTCGATGCCGAATGTAAGAAGAAAGTGGACTATATCAGCAAGCAACCGCCCAAATCGTTGATGCACTCCAAGGCTTTGATGCGAGCCCCCCATCGGGCAGCTTTGCTCAAAGCGAACGAGGAGGAATGCAAGAGACTCGAAGAGAGATTCACATCCGACGAAGCTATGCGAGCGGTGGCAAACTTTTTCAAAGCGAGGGGGTCGAAAATGTAGGGGATTTCCCAGATCCTATTCACCAGATAGAGAGAGAGCCCGTTACTCGGTGAAACGAGTTCGGAAACTTGTTTCGATATGTCGACGAGTGTTCCCGACGCGGGAAGGTTTGTAATTCTGTTCCGGGGGCCATGTATGGGAACGAACTCAATAAAGTCAGATGTTTTGGGAGGACCTTGTTCAGGACGCAGTTTTCATTGCCGACGCTTCATGATGTTCGACCATAGGCGGGCAGTCGCTCCTCACAATGCGAATCTGTGCGATGAAGAGCAAGGATGATTCATGTACGATTCCACGGTCCCCGCTGACTGTTCACGTCTGGTGCGAGCCGAAGCGCGAATTTCCGCCAGGTGCAATTGCGATGTTTAGTCTATCATTCAAGAATCACTTGACGAAGTGATATACGGTCATTTAGGGGCCCAGCAGAAAAGAGGCTGATCGGATGAAGGATTTCCACCTGATGCCTACACAAACGAAGTTCCCTCCTTAGATAGGACCTTCACAGGGGAGAGGTCCCCCACGAGCGGCACGTGGGGCGATGAATTACCTGACAGGAGAGCAAAGCGAAAAATCAGCACAAATCATTGTCATTCGGCAAAAGCTCTCCTCTAACCGGAATCTGTCAATTGACCAGGCTCCGTCTTATAATGCGCGCTTACGGCTGGGAGGCATTGGATTTCGGAGATCAGCTGTGTCCTCAAGGAGCGTCGCCGCGACATGTCACTGTCATCATGAATTCTCACACAAAAGGGAGGTATGTCACTGAAAACAGAACTATTGTTCAGCACCCACGATACAACACTCAATGAGAATGAAGAGATCAGCTTGGAGTAACCCAAGGGTCCGGGGGACCGTCTTCAGAAACTGAATCCCTTATTTTCTCACAGCAAGAAACTCTACGAGGATTACGCAGCACCACTTCTGCATCTCGCCGGCATGAAAGTTTCGTTGTTCAAGACGGAACATTCGGGCCAGGCCAAGGACCTCATGCAGATAATGGACAATACCGACGCTGTCCTCGTCGTTGGTGGTGACGGAACTCTCATGGAAACTGTAACCGGCCTCCTCAGTAGAGAAGACAGGGTAGAGACCTTAATATCAATCTAGTTTGGCTTCGGTAGCTCCCATGGGTCGCTGAATGCATCGGGAGAAGGAGCTCGAATCGATCAGACGGAATTTCGCCTTATTCACAGATGGAAGCCTGCCATCGTTTTCCTCTCGGGGTGATACCGACGGGTAGAACGAACACCGTCGCGAGGAAACTCTACTTCAAGGAGCACATGAGATCGGAGCATCTAGCGGCTGAGGCCGCGATGGCTCTGATCAGAGACGTCAGAAAACCGCTCGACGCTTTCCGTGTCGATTTCCATAACGAAAAGCTTTGGGAAAGATCCGATGACGAGGACGAGACGAGACTGAAGGCCCTTCAGGATCAGGATTTCAAGGTACAGTTTTTGCTCGGTGACCATCAGGTAGCTACACCGATGTGCGACTAGAGAATGTATGTCGGTTCTCTGGCGAATCGGTTCCGAACAAACACCGGGCGTTTAAATATTTCTATGCGTTCGATCTCGCATCCGACGGAATCCGTCGTCTCGAGCGATGCTTCTCGGCTCGTCAACATCCTGCCAAGTCCTCTCGACCGGAGCTGAATTTAAATACTTTATTTAATTGAAATTAAATTAAATTAAACTGAGTTCTTATTTCGCGTCGTGTTTCCAATCATAATCCATCCAGCCATTCTCTTCCAGGAACAGGGAATCGTCGTTAGAGGAACCGCCGTGAGCGACGAGTCCGAGAAGGTGGACGGAGCGGCTGACGACTCGGCTCACAAACCCTACTTTAGAAGACAAGACCCAGTGTTCGGTGTCGGGAAGCTGGAATGCGGAATTTTCCGCGACTTGGATGCGAGGATAGATCGGTGAGCGTCCGACGATGACTCTCTCGGTCTCTCGAACGCATGTCGAGAGCATCGAGAGAAGTTGCGGGAAACCGGGATCGGCTCCATGAATTGATCGATGAGCCTTATTCACTTGATGATGAATTCTTTGCAGTTATTGGTACTTCGGGGGACTCCGAGCGAGAGCAGCTTATTTATTCGGGAGCTTGCGACAGAGTCCCGAGCCCGAGGAAACAGAGATACGATTTAGCGACGTATGTTCTGGATGCAACAAGTGCATGGTGAAACCCAGAGAAAACGATAGGAAAGAAAGCGCAGAGGTTAAACAGCCCCAGCGGTGGTGGGGCAGCTTCGTGAAGAAAGAGCAAGCGCAAAGTGAGTGGCCTGCCATGAGCCATGAAGTTATGTCATTCGTAATTATGCTGAATCATTCCTCGAGCTCATCTCGCGAGCATATAGTCTAAAATCGATGTGAAGGGGCAACTGACGATCGAGACCACGATGATGAATTTATTTGCGCAGATAAGTCCGTGGACCCGTACGAGAAGTTTGCGAATGTCGTGAATGAAAAATGCGGCTCTCTGACGGACACGTCCATCTGTTACACTAACCTCGAGCTGGCGCCTGAGGACGGTGGTCTCGTACTGAAAGCGTCACCAGCAACGCTCGATGGAGCTACGGTTCTACTCGATGGGTGAGTCTCGTTCGGATCGGATACTATGAGGCGGCTGTAGGACCTCGTCAGCAACGGGGTCGACGATGGACAGTTTGGGGCCATACTGGAGAAAATGTCTCAATAAATTGACAATTTTTTTTCTGAAGGTTCAAACGACACAGCAAACACGAGACGCCCTGCTTGGAAGAACAACTTCGGGTCGGGAGGATTCAATTCAATTTCCCTCAAAAGGTGGGCTGCGTGCTGTTCATCGGGGTGACGGTAGCGGATACTTTTCACAAGCTCTCTACCACATGGCCTTCCTCGTTCTCCTCAAGGGAGTGTCGCCCATGTTCAAACATTCCTCCCGATTTCCAGGAACTGGTCGACCCAGAATACATTCCGACGCCCGAGGAGAAGCGGAGTAAGGAGCTCTTCATCAAAGGGAAGAAAATGGCCATAGATTCCGAAGTGTTCGCTCGGCAACCGATTTCCATAACGCTGTATCCGAGGGCTGTCAATTTTTTTGTCAGCTCTTGAGCCAAACGACTTGTACATAAAGATTTCATTGGAGTTTCCGTATGATGATCGTTACGCATTTTGGATTCATAAAGAGACTCCCCGAAGGTGCATTGAGCTTTTTCTCAGTCTGCGCGGATAGGTCTCTTCGCAACCTTCCTCCTTATACTCATGCCGCTTCCTGCGCCCGATCGGATTTGCACTTCGCCGGAGCTTCGCAACTAACATAAAACCTCCGCCGGATACGATAGCAGGTATTAATGCCTCAAAAAAAGAGTCATTCTGTCCAATGGCCGGGATCGGCTTTCAATGAGGGACTCATAGTCAGAATGCGACCCACAGTCTCGACCCTCGTGGAGCAAAGGTCGATCTCTCTCGCCTCAGCTCCACGAGAAGTCTAATTCTCCATCTTACTGCGGTCGGGAGCGATCGACACGCTCATTCTATCTCTGTAACTCTCCCGAAGCGTCAGGACGGGGTATTCCACCCAACGAAATTGTGGCCTGGACATCATCGCCACTGATTTCCTGCTATCAGAAAAAAACTTGAGGCAGTACGGAGCTCGCCAGCAGCTCAGCTTTAAAACCCACCCTTAGCATGGTGCGAAAACCGTCCAAGCTCAAAGCCGCACCGGAGACCCTCGACGCTCCAGCCTCGAGGCGAAACCCTCGCCATGCGAGACATACCGGAGCGAGAAACAATGAGACGCTACAAACAACGAACACTTACTATACGGTGTATTTGTTCATGGAAAGCATTATATACAGGTGGATATACAGAGACGAGGGAAACTCCGTCCTTCCGTCTATTGGTAGTACAGCTCGAGGTTCATCCCATCGTGGATCTCGTAGTCAGCCAAGGTGATGTTGTCTTTGAAGATCGTGTACCATTTCTTCAGCACAATCTTATCGTATCTCGTTCCGGTTTGAGCAGCAATCAATTTCTTCAGGTCACCGATGGTGTCGTCGGCACTGCAAATAGATCAGAATCGAATCCACGAATGTTAATCTCGAAGTTTTCGGAAGAAACAACCCTTGACGTGTTCATTCAAAAAGCAGCACCAATGGATTCCTACAGGAGGAATGGAAGCGAACTCACTTGCACTTGATGCGGACTTTCTTCCCGAGACGATCGTTGCACGTAATTTCGATCATTGTTCCGATCTTCGCGTTCAGATATCCCACACCGGACGAGCGAATTTCGAATTGTTTTGGTTTTCTCGCGAGCCGTAATCGCTATAAGCTGAGCTCTCGCCTCCGGGGAACCGCACGGCCTTTAGACGGCGCGGTTATTTTCGAAAACAATTGTATCGGGCCACGACAAGTTTTCATCCGTTGGTCGCAATCCTCTTCGCGACCCCTCGGACGGTCGTCACAAAGGCACGCGGGAGGATATTTTCATTCAAAATTCATAGACTCGTCCAAGGCCGGATCGATGGAAGGTCTGCGAATTCAGTTACGGGTCGATTAGACTTCGGAATGAGGACTGTGCCCTTGGTTCCGGCTCCTGGACCGAGATACCCGGCAGGATTCCAAAGCCATCTGCATGGAGTTCCACAGGCTTACTGCGACAGAAGGCGCTCCGTGAAAGAAACGGCGGGAATCTATAAACACCCGGAGCAATTCTGATTGAACAACCGATCCTCGAGGGCTCCTCGACCATTGGTCGATCAGAGCTGCCGCCTTCCGAAGCCATGCTCGAGAGCCCACAGTGTGCGCGTTCCGACCGGTAACAGGATCCGTACGCAACTCGCGGATGATGATTGCAAAACCATCCCGTAAGCGAGCTCAAAGACTCGGACTTATCTCCAGTAATAATTCATCACGTTTTCAAAATTCCCTTGCTGTTTCCCAGCGGGGAGCGCTTATGAAAGTCCGCTCGACGGAATTACTCGCTGAGGCGGCTCCGCAATCTCATCGCGGACACGTGGCTGACTGAGACCCTCTGACTCTTATCACATATCGATACGGTCATATTCATGAGGTGTGAGCTGCGACTCCGATGGACTCGTCCTGGTTGAGCCCCGAACTCGAGAGTAAGATACGTCGAATATTTTCGATTTCTCCTCGCGAGTCGGCGTTTTACGCCTCGTTCGGAAAGCCGCGGAATTCAAGAGTCCAGCGGCAATATCGCCCCACCGGGACCGGAAAAGGGATCCGACGGAAACTTGCGAGTCGGAATCTCGAACGTCCCAGAGCTATCCCAGGACAGAGATAGGCTTGGGATGGTGAGCAATGGCAGCGAACAGACAAGGACGTGAGCTCTGGGATTTACTTTAATGAAATCTGCCGCGCGGCGTAGTTTTGTAAGTCAACCCCGTCCCCGAAGTCGAACTTCCCGCTGGATTCAGCCGACGAGAAATCGAGAGAATCGAAGCTATCTGACAGCTCCTGCTGTGACACTATTGGCTCGACTTCCGTCTACTGAGAACACGTCGGCGTCGCCATCAACTCCAGAGGTCGGGACTTCTCTGATAAGAACAAGCGGAAATTCCTCGAGAGAGTCTCTCAAAGCAGGAGCTATTGTACTGACTGAGGCATCGAATTCAGAGTGAAAAACGTTTTCTACGTCCCGAAATCTTGACCTCGAACAACTCAGAGGAGGAAATCACTTCCCTCGAATAGTCCCGCCCACGTTCATCATGCGCCAGTTGACGTTGTTGGGAACATATCGCTTCGGGCCACCGATTCCGCGAGCACTGCTCGCGCTCTCTGTTCTGAAGAGCGGTCTCCTCCTGGATCGGATCGACCTCCTCCGTCAGCTCATTACCCCATCGGATTGAACCTGGAGCCGAGGGTTTCCCCCTGGGCGGACGGTAGGCTGTGAGCCGTGGAGGAAATTTCCAACGGAGGACACCGCGTCTCTGTTTGAATTTTTTTCCCCGATCGGCCGTTCCCGTTCACCGTCTTGCGGTCGAATAGCGAGTAGTTTGTAGAGCTATGTGCCGCCCTCATTTCCCGGACGAAAGACGTCTGTATTCGTGAGGGTATCGGGCCGAGTCTCACTCACGTGAAATGTTCCACTCTACGACGAACCGATGGTACTTCAGAACACTTGTGCACTTCCAATCATCGATTTCCGTCGAACAAGTATCCGGAGCAAGGTTCCTCGTTCCGCTTCCATCACGGGCAGTGAGAGCGTGCGGTTTCAAATTGCCCCCGACGACGAACACGCCCCCGAGTTTAGGGAAAAATATCAATGGTGGGGCCCCAGGGAAGAATATGGGGGTTTCGGAAGAATCGCCTGTCCTCCCGATCGCGAATTCGAGATCATCAGATATCACCCGATGGTCGGAGATCACCGGGTAAGCTGCCACCCGGATTCTCGGCGGCTCTGAAGGGGTGAGATTATCGACGCAGCTGTTCGATCGGAGCGATGTTCTCGGACTGATCTCATCACCCAGAGCTTGTTGGACTCCTGTACGGAATCGGCTCGGTTCCGGACCCGGGAATTCGCGAAAATTCAGCCGTGTCATGCGTGGTCTTGGTGACAGGCAGCCCGAATTGACGTCTCTTACTCAATCGCACGCTCGCTCGCCTGCTCTGACAGAGAGAGATATCTCTCGCGAACTTGGGCTGTCGAGGCTGGCGGCAGACGACCAAGTGAGTGAGCAGGCACTTCAGAAGGACCCATGAGGGCGAAGCACTTTGCGGCAGGACCGGGATGATTCCACCGCTTGTTTTGGGGGTGAAGTGCGCGGAAAGTTCCCAAAGTTGCATCAGTCCGCTGTTGTCTGCACTGTGCGGATCGCTGTGCGGAGAGAGTGGGTTGGCGAGCTCGCAGTTTCGGTACCTCCTTCAGCTGCGAAGCAGCCCGAAAGATGCACGCGTTTTTCCCACGTTTCGGCTACAGGCAGCTATCCTGGGCTTCGCAAGCGACCCACAAGCGACCCCTCGACGTCGGCCGGTCACTCGCCCGGTCGCTCCGACTGACTGAGTGAAAATTTTGATTCGAGTTGTTGCTCGCTCTGCCAGTCAGTCGGTCGTTCGGTCGGTCGGACGGTCGTTCGGCCGTCCGTCCGTCCCCAATGCTGTCCCATTGGTGTCAGTCGAAGCCGCATCTTTTTTATCCAGCACTTAAACAAACAGTGCGAAAGAAGCGAGCCAGCGGGAAGAACTTTGCCAACAACTTTTTGTGACGATTCGCCGGACGACGCCTAGTTTGATGTCTCGGCTGCGGCAAATATGGGACCCTCGAAGCCCGCAAGAGTTCGAGGGGACGAGTGTCCGAGAACTCGTTCTGATGGTAGACCAACCGTGAAGCTGAGGATCCAACCCACTAAGGAGGCTGACTGGTGGGTGGCTGGGCGATCGGTCGGTCAACGGGACGGCTTGGGAGTCGCTTCATGAACGGCACAGTTACTTCTCGTGTCGCAGATGACACTAGCGGTCAGTTGAGCGTGCTAAACGCTTTTAGTGGATGTTGTCATCCTCGTCGTGGCGGTCGTCGTCAACGTCGTCGTCGAGCTGGGAGCCGTCTCCTTGTAGCGCGACTGATGGCTCGGGCGCATGGCTGGACAGGCAGGCGAGCCGCGACGATGGACGGTCATTTTTCATTGTGGACTTCGTCCAAGGCGTCGGTCGGCGTACTACAGTGGGAGTAAGTAACTAGAGAGCAGGAAGGTAGAATCAACGACAGCGTAGTGGAACGAATGAGCGAGCGACGTTGGCCCCGTGTAGTTACGTCGTCGCCGTTGAACTCGCCCCCGACCGAAAGCACGAAAATGGTTTTCCCCCCTCCGCGTAATCTCTGGCTCATCTGATACAGTTCGCCGTGGTTCGCCGTTTCGGCGTGGCGTCCCGTCGTCGGGAGGCTGATCGTGGCGGCCGGCGCTAGCGCAAAGCGTTTGCGAGCGAATCCGGGCGACGCAGACGGGGGAACCGAGGGCACGCAGGGAGATCCGCTCCCTCTGGAATGCGTGCTCCGCTTGGTTGCTCCGTCAGGAAGCACTCGAATCGCCACGAGAATTCTCTTCCATTTCCGCCCGACGGAGATCATCCAGTTTTGCTCTTCTTCGTAACCTGCTGACGGCTCCTTCTTCCGGACGACGACGGCGAGCTGGAGGAGGAGACCATTCCTCCTCGCAG